TTGTTTCTTATTTTTCTGAGTTTATTCTTTATTATTTCAGGGCTGACCTAAATGCCTCAAAGCACAAATGACTTAAAGTAAAAATTATTGACCCTCCTGTTATGTTTGTTTCTGAGGTACAGCAATGATGTTCATGAGTCAATCTGACGTGGGAGTGTTTAATCATGCAATAATGTCAGAAACCAAAAAAAATCCTGAAAAACATTTCTGATTATTAACTCCAATACTAACCATTTGAATCAATATTTGTACAATGATGTTTTCTTATTTCTCACAAATAAAGAATACATGACGACAACTTACTCATCTACTCATTTGCTTTTGTCAGAAAACCTAATATTGTTTTGAAGCTATAATTAGTTGTGTAATATGAATAAATAGTTGGTGAACTAGTTATTAAATGGAGTCATGTAAGTTTGTACTTCCAGCTTTTTTGGAAAGATGCTGTAAGGTGATGTGTGAAAATGGGAAATCTGAAGTCTGTGAAAGTTTTCCCATGTTTGAAATATAATAATCTATAATATGAATAAAACATATAATAATGTTTTGCTTATGAATTAATTCCTTCATCATCTCTTTTCAAGCAAAAACATAAAACCAGAAGGAACCCTTGAAACAAATTAGCTGTGAAGTCGGAACATGGAGTCAGAATGAACTGTACATTTAATGCTAATTAAAGTCTTGTTGTGAAGCTAATTGTTTTCTGAAGGGGTTGCTTAGAATCGGCCATTTTAGTCTTTCTTGTAGTAGCAGCTTTTGTTTCGTATGGTCACAAAAAAACCGAGAGTGTTTTCATATGTAGTGTGAAAACATTGACTGCTGGTGGAGTGTGACATTCATAACAGTGATGTAACCTTGTGGCAAATGGCTGCTGGAATCAAGCACTTCATTTTTCTGCTTTCTGTGTTCAAGCTAATCTCCTGGGGAGGACAGAGAGAACAGAGAGAACAGGGTGCGAGTGAAGCATGAAGCCGCCTCCTGAACAAGATGCTGGATGTTACAGAAGCGTTGTGGAACACGTCCCAGGAGAAAAGCTTTCTGTAATTAGAAAAGGAAAGATTTAATGATCGCTAAATTCAGTGTGAGCATTTCCTTTTAAATACATTAAAAATCACTTAGTGGATATTTGTCAGACCAAATAACGGCGCAGAGCTCAATGCTCGTAGCTCAATAAAAATTCATTAAAAGTGCAAGACAGCAGGTGACCTTAAAACTTTCCCCGGCTGAGATTGAAAGAGACAGCGGTGAAGTGCAGCAGGCAGACAGACGGATAGAAACCGAGTGCGGAGCGGAACAACAGAACTTGAAGCCCTGAGGTCACTTCCGAAAAAAAAAAAAAGAAAAGAAAAAAGACTGCAGCGGGAAAGTAAATTAAAGTAAGCGAAATAGAAAGCGGAAAGGGTTGCATGGGGGAATGCTGTTTGTGAGAGAATGATTTTTTCATAAAGGAGGCAATGAAAAACAGAGAAGCAGGAGGAGGAAGAGGAGGTGTCAAGGCCAGGAGGCTGTAATAGAGTGAAGGAGGCTGAGGCTGCAGGGAGGCACTAACTCCATGTTAGTTGACCCAAGGAAAAGGTCTGCTTCTTTATTACAGACTGAGATCATGCCCTTTATTTCACACCATATATTTTACACCAAAACATTATAACCTTTATGGACTCACAAAATAACAGAGTCACAAGCACACTCCCACCCAAGGTGAGTAACCCTGAAAACAGCAACACACAACTCCACACCTCATCCTCTTTGTAATAAAGCCTTGTGCTTCATCACATTTTTCTTGTTTTGTGTGTGGATTAATACAAAGTGTGTGAGTGTGGTTGTCCGCAGATCTCTGGGGTTAGGAGACGTTGTCCTTGTCTGTGAAATCATCTCAATCACACTCCAGAGAGCTAATGGGAGCAATCCTCCATGCAGGACGTCTGAAAACCCACGATGCATTGCTCAAGGTTGGTCATAATCTTTACTTACACACATAAAGCGCTTGCTGAGATCAAAAGCGCCTTCGACAACCACCTATTCGCCTTGCCTTCAAATCTTCTCAGTAAAGCTCTGCTTGGATTGTTTCTTTCTTTTCTCACACCTCCCCACAGTAAAAAAAAAAAAAAGATTATTACTTTTTCATTTTTGGCCGTCTGACCTGCTGTGTTCACTTTATCATCTTGCCATGTTGGCTTTTAAACCCTGTGGAGAAGTGGCGTACCACCTGAATATCATTTCCTGAGCTTTCCCAATTTGTCGTATTGCTACTGAAACAGTAATACTCACATGAGTTTTAATGAATGTGTAATATACTTAATATATGATTTCATTGAGTGAAGAAAGTACATAAGATATGATACTGAGTGCTTGAAGCTTGACAGCCCTTGTTTATATCGATCTGGTTGAGACTCTTATTTTGAAATAGAAAAGGAATTAGTGTTGGCTAATTTTGCAGCTCTTGCGTTGCTAACAAACTTTGTTATAGAAACGCTGAAGAAGCTTTCACTAAATCATTTGTGTGGCAGCGTTTTAGATAAAAGGCTGGTAAAAACAAGATCTGAAAACATCCAATCAGATTAAGTATTTCTAAACTTTTTTTAAAGAATCTGTATCCTATGAACCCCCTTAGCTCTTAGACGTTTGTTTTAAATTTCAATTAGGTTAAACATCTAGTAGATCAGTTATAATGCAAAGAGATCCTGAAAGTTTGTAAACCCAATAAAGACCTAATACTGGATTAGAAAAATCCAGTATTAGCATCATTCATAATCAATGACGCATTAATCAGCAATCTGATGTCCAATGTTGTTGACTGTGCGTTCTCTAACCTTGTTATTTTTGTGTTTGCATGATGTAAAGCACTTTGAAATGCTTTATTACTGGAATGTGCTATACGAATGAAATTTGATTTGATGATTTTCTCTCACATAAATGTTTGATATCAAATTTAATTCAATATTAATATTAAAAATGATGAAAAAAATTGTAAACTAACAATAAATTTACTGTAAAATGCAGCAAATAAAATCAAACAAAATATAAAATAAATAGGTTTTAAAAAAGTTGTTTTTTGTAATTTCTGTTTAAAGTGGCTACAATTACAAAAATGAATGAACTCCAACAGGTTCTTGCAACAGTTAATAAGAAGGTGTTTTGTCTGTACTATCAGAAGTCTTCAAACAAAGGAGAAGACTTCTGATTGTAGGTATAAAATATCTACAGGAAGGTATATCTTCTTCTCTTTAGAAAATAACCATGAAGAGACAATAGACAAATATCCAGACTATTGGAATAATACTTTCTGAGTATTCCCTTCTGACTGAAAATGGAAAGTAATTGTTTTATTTTTAAACTAGCGGCCGCACAAAACGCTAAGCCTGAAACTTACATCACTTCACTGTCCATGCAAAAGTTGTGATCTATAAAAAAACAAACTGGAGTGTGCGGTTTCTCACCCGTATGTGGAGACGGGGGAAACTTACGGAGCAGATGGTAAGGTGGGGAACTGAAGCCACACCGCATCGTCATTTCTCTCAAACATCTAATTTCACTCCATATGAAACTTTAATAATAGATCAACTTCATCACAAGTATCCAAACAGCAGTGTTATTTATGCTTCCACTGTTGATTACTAACTATGCACAAGAACCAATCTTAATAGAAATCCACACAAACGTTCCATCAACATTTTTTTCTTCTTCTAAGTACTAGAATCTCTGGGAAATATTTCTGACACCTTATTGAAGCTACCAGTGAGAATTAAGACATTTTGAAAGGTAAGGAGGTACGATCACATACCGTCAAAATGAACCTTACTAAATGCTGGTGAAAGTACAATTATATATTGGTCTCTGTTGGAACAGATGAAGAATTTAACAAGTTGTAAGGACATTTATGAAAACCTCTGTACCAAAAGACGTATAGAATAAGGAGGTTTCAGCTCTGACAAGTCGTTTAGTCAGTGAAGGGAAGTTTGCTTTGTTTCGATTTGCAGACAGGAAGAGAACGCTGTGACCAAAGATAAAGACAGAAACCCAAACAAGTTAATGACGAGCTGCAAAAAACATCATTACAGGCTTGTTTATTCTGAACCTTTAAATTTTCTGCTGGTATTGGGGTCATTTGTGGGGAACGAAAATGATTGATATTCCTTTTTCTGATACTTTTTGCTAAAACTGATGGACCATCAACTCCTTTCTCATCCTTTGCATTCATTGTTGAAGAGGCAGAGAGGAAACTAGGCGGGCATGGCGTCCAAAGGGAAAGATTCTGGTGTAGGTAATTGCTTACAAAGCTAATGCAACAGGAGATAGGATCAGAGGGGAGGTGACAGTCGGTAATTGGAAATGGTGAAAGAAAGAAGACCGTGAAAAAGGATTGGCGAAAGAGAGATAGTGGGACTCAGTGCAATGCTGAAACACCCCATGCAGCCCTCTACGCGTTACAGGCCAGTAGGTAAGCGGTCACTAAACACTATCGGTCACCTTAAACAGGGTTGTTCATGTCATGTTCTACCATGTGGCGTCCCGCAGGGCAGAATGTAAGCCCTGACTTTCATCCGTTTTCTATTTGCCACAGCCCACAGCTGCACACTGTGTGCCGAACACATAACTCAGGCACAAAGTTAATGTAATGAGCCAGAAAAAGATCTCTGCCCAGAGACATGAAATATAACATTCCACCAGTGGAGGCTTATTTACATGCATCACTCAAAAACGGCTGAAAAATTCACCCTGGTTGCAGAAATAAGCATTGAGAAAAACGGAAGCATGACAATGAATGGACGCACACAGACACATACATACATGCAACCCGTCAGCCTCATCATCTTCTTTTCTTTGCTTTGCTGGGAGGACGAGTAAGGAAGTCTTGTCAGTGTAGGTAGTCGTCAGTGTAGAAGATCAGCAAACACGCAGTTTTGTTTCAAGTGTGTCTGAGCTCTGCTTGTGAAAATACTCCAACTAACGAGGGTTAAATATTCATGCCCATGCTGGCATGCGTGTGTGAGTAAACATACCCAGGACAGAAGCGTGGTCCCTGATGCCTCCTCATCTGTCCGGCTGTGTGTGAATGCAGATCTTATTTCCTCTCCTCTTGGCCCACAAGTGGCCGTCGCCGCTCGGGAAGCTCGCCGGTGTGATCTTCTGATCTTTTCCCTCAGTCGCTCTCACTCCTCGGCGTTCCAAACATGCCTCTGACTCCTCTCTTCTTCCCAGCTCTCCTTCCTGCCCTCCCTCCTGCCGACAGGCTTATGTGCACACTTCACACCTCCAGCTACTCCTTGTTGCTTATTGTGACCCCGGTGAAAATGAAAGCCCGTTGCATTAAGGAGGCTAACGTGAGACCCTCCTCTCCTTCAGCCAGCGCTGTTCAGGGATCCATCCGTCTCCCAACGATGTGGATGTGGAATTAAGGGAAAGGAGAGGAAGGATGGGGAAGGAGCGAGTTGTTGCTGTAGCTGTTGCCTCTGCCTCCTTCTGTATGAGTGCCTCTCTCTCGCTTGGCATTCTTTTCATCTCTCTCTCTCTGCTCACTCACTCTTTATCTTGCACCACCCCCTCTCTTGTTCCCTCAGTCACTGGATGCTGTTGACGGCGTGCTGGAGCGAGTCTCTCTTACGGGAAGAGAAATGAAGAAAACAGGAGCAGGGGAGACGGGAAACTAGAAGAAAAAGATGTAAAAAACAGAAAACAAGGAAAAATTATTGACTAGGATTAAATAAAAACATAAGTGATTTACATTAAGACATTTAGACAGTGCCATGGAAATGATTTTATGTCCCTGACACTTAATAATTTTGTCATATGTTGCCATTAATGCATTTCATTGGGATTTTCAGAAAAAAACCAACATATAGCAGCAGATAATTGTGAAATTAATGGAGGAATAATGACCTTTGAGCTCAAAAATGGTTTACATATCAACCCTTAAGTAAGTGTTGTGTGAATGTCTGTTCCACCCTTCCTGGATCACTGATTTGCAAAATTACCTTTTGCTGCAGCCAGTATGTAGTCATACTCCTTACAGATGAGGGTTGAATGCTATTTTTACTAAATGTAGATTTTGCTTCTGATTGAAAACCACACAGATATTATAAGAAAAAAGAGAAATGTTTTCTTGAAAATATCGTAAAAAAAGGAAAGATTTTGAAATGCTCTTACAATTTTCAAACAGCATATTTGAAGTTTTAAGATTTTTCTTTGGCAATGAGCTTCATGTCTTTGAGGTTGGAAAGCCTTCTTACCATCACCCTAATCTCTGGCTCCCCCTACAGATTATTTATTTATTTATTTATTTATTTATTTATTTATTTATTTATTTTTCTGTCCAGTCAGAAGAAACAAGATGGAGCACTGAAATAATAACTTTAAACATAAATAAGACATGGAGTATGAATAATTCTGGCCTCATCTGTACAGAAAAAGTTAAAAATATTATAACACCAAAACCAAATAACCAAAACACTAAAAAAATACTGTTTTGCATTTTTCTATGTATTAAATATAAAGAGAGGAAATGCTTCAAATGAAAGTCAAAAGGACATAAAGTTAAATGTTTCTATTTGGAAAGATAATATTCCAGCTTTCTCATCTGCAATAGATTGAAAGAATTGTAAACAGGCTGAAGTAGTTTCTCTGTTTATCAGAAAATAAAGTGTTTGAGTCGATAAATTGATTGGAGTTGGCACAGTGTTTTGCCAAAGGGCATCATTATGCAAGGAAAATCATGATTAATGCAGACCGTGAATCCCAGACTGTTTTTCCGCCAGTGAGAAACAAAAACAAAAACAATTGCATCATGCTATATTCTGTTAAGCAAAAATAGCAATTTGTGAAAATAATATTCTGGCTTCAGATTTATTGTCACGTCCTTCTAAGAAGCAATCATGCTGCCACAGAGAAGGCGACGTGTCTTAATGTGGTAAAAACACTCTTTAGGATGGATTACTTTGTTTTAGATTTGATGAAAAATGACTTAACTTTGCAGGAAACCTCGTGATTCAGTAGTTGCCTTTAACATGACCTTTCCATTCTCTCACAGCGTAGTGGGGAAATGTTGACCCAGCCGTTGTTACAACCTGATTAGAGGTCAGTGAAGTTTGTGGGTGTTTGGTTCTGTGCAGCTCTTTTCAGTTCCCGGCGCAGCATTTCAGTCAGTTCAGGGTTTGGACTGCGACTCGATTCTTTTGCTTTGGAGCATTCTGCTGAAGATTTACAATTGTGTTTTGATCTTTACATTTTCTATGTGTTTTCATCCAGGTGGCCTCAGACTGTACTTTGGTACGCCAACAGGTACAGCTGAGACACTATGTTGTCAAGTTTATATCATGAACTTCAAAGTAATTTAAGCATTTTTTTATTCTTAATTATGGATACCCTCTTATTTAGAAATAATAATAATAATAAAAAAAACATCCATTTACTATATGCCTTCTTATAATACTTTTACTGGAAGAAAAATCCAACCAAATCTCCAGTCAGGTCCATACTTTCAATTTCTTTAAGTTTTTGAACATAATAAAATCTTAAAAATTTCAGTAATTGATATAATTATACAATTTACTGAACTGATATAATTTAGTAATTGAATTATATCAGTTACTGAATTTTTATTTTTATATATATAAAAATATAACAATTCACACTCATTTTTATTAGTTTTTCTTAATTAAAGCACAATGGAGACATGCTGAAACGTTTTTGAACAATTATAACCCTACTGTTAAGGTGTAATAATTTAACCTGAGCTTAATTTTGATACTAAATTTCATTGGATGCATTACAAGGTTGTATGAGCAAACTTAAAAATATTGTCTAAATATTTATAGTATGACAGAGGGCTTCACTCAAACATTATTTATTACATGTAGAGATTAATAAATCTCAACTTCTTTTCCCCGATAGAAGGAAAGTGTATTTTTTGTAGCCAGCTTTTGCTTTGGCAGCTCAATGTAAGATTCAAACATTGAAATTCAGACTCTTAATCTCCTTTGTCCTTTTTTTTATGTGAATGGAGAATAATACAATTCAGCTTGTCAAACATGGAGACCTTTAAAAATAACCTTTAAGTCTTGAAAACCAGTCTTGTGTTTAAAGGTAACCAGTCCACGGACAATACATTTGAAGGTTAAAGCTCTTCCAGTTGCAGCCTTTGAGTCAAACAATATTAAACTTCCATTGATCACAGAAGTAAGAAAAACATGTCAAAAGAAAACGTAAGGTTCACAAATCTAGCTTTTTATCATTTTAATCCTTCTGTGTTTTGTCATTTTTTCTTTTTAACCATCTAAACCGTTTTGCCCAAAGCATCCAGAGAGAGAAGGACCGGAGGAGCGTGAAGGAAAATAGACATTTTCATTGTTCGGTCCTGTTGCCTTGTCAGAGTAGATCAGATCAAAGACCACTGAGGTTTAATCACACACACGCACACTGAAAAGCACTGAAAAACTCTGGCCTGACTGACTTCCCCAAGGTCAGAAACAGATCATTGCAGGAGAGGAGAAGTCTGTCCTGTGACCCCAAGGCCACGAGGCAAAACCGCCAAGGCGGCTCGTCCAACAAACACCTGCCATGCCAACCTCTTAGCCGCCCACGTTCGGACACAACGCCCCAAAACACATGCTCTGCTCCTAATGCCTGAATGTAGTTTATGTTCAATGCTCAGCTCAGCCGATTTCTTGTTTTTAGTCAATCAAATCTTCTCTTTTCCATCAGTAATGTGTAACATAATCATATTATCTACCCTGTTTTTTAAAAAAGTGCCTTCTGAGTCAAACATAAGAGCACTAGATTTACTTTTGCTCTGCTTATTATGACACTTAAGGAGAAGATGTTGCTTTTATCCTGACGTGACTCTGTTGCTGGTGCTGATGGAGGGCTGTGACCATCAAACAAAGTGGCATTGCTGTTTTATCTCCAAACTCAGCTTTGACTCACTGGATTACGTTTAGAAATAGCCAAATGTGCGCCCGAGCAACTGAGCTGTCAATTAGAGGCAGTTCATCAAAGGATGAATCCACTGCAGCGGCAAGTGACGGATTAAAGTCGCTCTTATCTGATGACAGTTAAAAATTGGGCTTTTAATTAAGGCTGGGTGCTCTTCTCATTTAACATGGTGCTTGGGATTCATTGGGTGTCTGATCATTATGTTGAGTTAAGAATATTTTTAGCAACAGATGAGATCATTAATCATCTCTGCATGTATTTATGGTTTACTAAATATTGACTAACATCTACACAGTGTACAGTTTATAGAAGCAATATTGTAAAAAAAAATACTATTTAACCTTCATTTTGAGTAGGTTTATTCAAACAAAATCACCAGTTGAACAATTTTTGGTGGCGTAATCACTCACTTTAAGAGAGAGGGCTTCAAAACCAAGTCTTGAGGGCTGATGTTTCCCAACTTTCCAACGACACGAAAATAGCAGGACTACATCTTCACTTCAAGTTAATGGCTAATTCAATCATTTGATAGAGGTGTGGTGGACCATGGAAATACCAAAACTTTGTCGGAGAATGTAAGGTTACAAGTAAAGTTGTAGGAATGTAGATGAACATAATACTGTCATAAGAGCGATGTAACACTTGTTATGAGTATGAAGGAGTTTTCATGAATGGTTGTGACTGTAGTCATGAAGTGCCATTTGGTAAACAATGACACTTTTAATGCAAAGTTAACTCTTTCAATTCGAGTTAATGTTTAGTGCAAGTTTTAGTGCAACTTTGCATTAAAAGTGTCGTTATTTACCGAATGACACTTTGGTAAAAACATTCATAAAACATTCATAAAAACCCTTTTATGTTTATGACAATGTAATGTCAGTCTTATCCCTTCAAATAAAGTGTTTCCGGTGATTATCTTGCCAACATTTCAAGCTAACTTTGGTAAGGAGAGTAAAAACCACTGCATATCTTGGGGTCACCAAGTCTCAACCATGCTATCTAAAGGCCAGAGAAAGAGATTTTTCTCCTCTCCCACCACGACCTTAAACATGTGGAGCTAAATGCTGCTGCATGAGACTAACACTGAGCTTTTCAGCCACGGACACTCCAGGAGGGTTTGATGTGAAAAGAATGAATATGTTGGAAAGCACTTCATGCACTTCAGGATCCATCAATGCTGTGGGCCTGTTTCTCTTCTAAAAGCTGTAAGTAACATTGCTTGAATGCATGGCATCCTGAAATACCAGGATATCTTAAATTAAAATCTGGTGAAAGCCTGAGTAGCTGGACAATGAGTCAATAGGACTAAAACCTGTGATGATGTGGATTTAGAAACAATTCACCAAGCAAAACATGCACCTTCTCCCATGATCATTTCAGTCCTGATATACTTCAATTTTTACAAAGGGTGAAAATAAATTGGTCAGGTTCTGCATTCATGTGTGTATATAAACATTTGACTGTGAAAAAGTATTTAGACTTCTTCTAAATCCATATTTTCTCTGAATTGTTAACTGTTTT